CAGCAGGATGTTTGGGGGAAATGTGACATTATTGGATTTTTGGCACAGGAGAGCTTGAAATGGATCCAGTGTGTCATTTTACCTTTTCCTTTCTGCACTGAATGTCAGGAATAACTCATGTTGTTGACAGCTATGTCAACATGTGAAACTGAATGAAGGGCAGGAATTAAACAAAAAGCTAATAATAGAAGAAGCAAGAAAGTGAGAAGTGAGCACTTCGTTAGTAAACTTCCTCACTGTTACAAGTAAAAGGGTCAAATAGTGCAGCCCGTCCTTATCTCTTACCACAAACGCTGTCTTGTTGGCAATGTTCAAGCAAAAGAGCTGCTTGTGTATCTGTGTGCATTTTGTGAGTATGAGAAACAAGCAGTCTACCCAAGACGTGTATGCCGGGAATTACAAAGAGGCATAAAAAAAAAATCCATTTGATTTGTCTCCATTTGTTTAATTATTTGCCCTACTTTAAATTTACTATTCCAAAAACTCTATTAAGTATGGTCTCACTTGTACCCATTGCAAACATTAAATATGCGATTTGTCTGCCATGCGTTGTGAGGCGTCATGTTGGTTGGTGTTTGATACATCTGCTGCAGTGGAAGAGTCACTTCTGTTGGTTCAGTGATTCCCACAGTATATATCCTGTGATAAATTAACAAGAACTCCAGTACAGACTGTTGAAGGAGCATTTATTCTATTGAGACATGCTTAGTCATTTGTGTTTTGGCCTCTAATGGCTTATGGGCATTACTCCTTATTCTTTCCTACTGAAGCTCATGAACAAGTTGATCTTAAGGAGAGTTTGTGATACTGGAGGACGTGAATTGTGGAGTGCTAAGTTATTGCCCAAGTGTGTTGCGTACTGCTAGCAGAAAGCAGAGCACACGCTCCACGTTTCATTGTGTGTTGGTAAATCTAACAGTTTACATCAAGCAGGTATGGAGTGGCTGCTAAATATGGGACAAGCATATGTAAGAGGATCTTTATTTGTAGGGAACATGATACAGCCCTTCTGTGTCCTGGAGTCAACATTTGGCTATAAATATTTTGTCATCATTGTAAATAGAAAACTTTAGTAAAGAGACTTAGCTTTAATTTGGCTTTTTCTAATTATAAAACCTGCTTGCTTGTTTGTTTTACTTGTGATTTGAAGTCAGCTATGTGACACACATCTGTATTCTTAATTGTTAGTATGTTTTCTGTTGATTTTTTTTTTATGTGTCCCTGCAGTGTGCAGAGTAGTACATTTTGTGTTTAACTGAATTGTTACATAAATGGAAAATATTTTCTCTTATCAGAAGTAAAATGCTTTCTATGGGGACTTCTGCTTCTGAAGCCAGGACTCTTTTGAAGACTTATTTTTTTGCTTGGCTTAAAGCAAGATGATGTCATTAATGAATTCTGAGCATCCTTCAGGAGGCTGGTGACCCTTGGTGATTGGTCATTGGTGAATGCTGTCATGGACAACTTCAAAGGGTAAAGATAGTATTTTTGTGAGTCTCTTTCAGGCTAGTTCTCTCATGTAGGAAGCAGGGAGTTAAATTTTAGGTTTGGATTAATTGCCCCAAACTCTTTCTTTTCACTGTTAAAACCATTCTCAAATTATGGGAACAAATTAGAGGAAACAATTCACTCGAATAGCTGTCCAGCTTTCTATGTGAGCTGTCTTTGAAGGATGTGTGTACTCTCCAGGTTACAGTGTAATATAGTAAGATATACTTGAACTAGCTTTAAATCAACTAATTTGGCTCTGGGAGCAGTCTTGCTGCAAAACATAAGCAGTGAAGTGAGTTAGGTTTTGTTGAGCTGTATGCTGCTGCAGCCTGACTAGGTACCTGAGTACTTTGTTTACAACTATGCCATGGAGAAATTTAGCTGTACCTTTAGATAGTCTTCTATAGTTGTTTAATGCAAGGGCCAGATTTCATTTCATACTTGATTTCATTTCCAGAAGTCAGTGCAACATTTTTTTCTCTTAATAAATCCATGAAAATAGTGTTAATTTAACCATTAGACTTTTTGTTGCTCGAAGGCTAGTTTTGGCTAATGTTCCTTCGTGATCTTCCCTTTTTTAAAACACAGTAAATGGGAAGTCACACTTAGTAGCCTCCAACTAAGTAATTGTCTTAAAATAAAATGTCATCATTTATTAAAGTTTTAGTAGCAGTACTTAATGTTTAAGAGGATATTGGAAAGATTGCAGTGTGCTTTCCAAGTACGTTTTATCTGCTCACTGTGTTCATTCATTCTGTTTTATCAGCTCTTTTCCAAAACACCACAAACAGTTAATGCACCTTAAGAAGAACTCCGGACCTTCCTCATCTTCTTAAGTCATACCTAGATGCCACCAGTGTTTCCCATGTTAACAGTTCTGAGCATGTTTTACTATATGTGCCTTCGGCGCCGAGCTAGGACAGCAACAAGAGGAGAAATGAACAGCCGGAGGGCTATTGAATCAAACACCCGAGCCTTACCTATCAACGTCGAAATAGTTCAGTATGCCAAAGAAGTGTTGGATTTCAGCTCTCACTATGGTAGTGAAAACAGCATGTCGTATACCATGTGGAATTTAGCAGGTATTCCAAATGTGTACCCCAGTTCTGGTGACTTTACTCAGACCGCGGTCTTTCGAACTTACGGAACCTGGTGGGATCGTTGCCCGAGCGCTCGGCTGCCATTCAAGAGGACGCCTTCCACCTTCTGTAGCCAGGACTATGTGGAACTCGCTTTTGAGGAACCAGTTTATCCCACTGCAGTGCACATTCTGGAAACGTATCATCCTGGAGCTATAGTCAGGATTTTGGCATGCTCTGCAAATCCTTACTCACAAAATCCACCAGCTGAAGTAAGGTAATCTTTTTTTTAACACCTTTGTGCTTTCCTGTAAGATGGTAAAAGCTACAAATAATGCTGTTGAGCAAACTTTACTTCCTAATACTTCTCTGCATCTGACCCACTGACATTTTCTTTATTTCTGCATGTTTTTAAAACTGTGACAACGTGTTTTTACAGCAACTTCAGAGATGTGGATTTTCTGTAGGAATTAACACAGATCCCAATATCAGATGTAATTTGTGTAATGATAACTTTTATGTTGGATTTTTTATGACCAATAATTATTGAGTATGTTCAAAAATCACTTCTGAAATGCTTGTTCTGAGTCATCTTTTTGTCCATTAAGAAAAGTGAATTGTGTAGAAGAGGCTGAGGATTCACAGTTGCTGTGTCATCCTGCTTCAAGTAGCCATAAACTCTTTCTTCTCTCTGCATGCTTTAGGTTTTATGTATAGTACAATCAGACGCTGTAACTATTCATATGGAAATGAGGCCAAAAACAGAAGCATAGAACAGTCAAGCAGAAGGTGATGCCATTTGTCTGATCATTATTTTTGGTCTGATCAGAGGATATGAGCCACCCTTCATTTTTACACTTGCTTCATAGACTGAAAGACGATGATCTGATCCTCGTGATTTTCCTCATAGTAGAAATTCCTGATGAAATTCCAGTTGGGGGGGAGGAAGATGGGAACCTACAGGATGGTGAGATAAAAACACTGTTTATGAGGTTTGAAAATGTTAGTGAGGAGATGAGGCAATAGAAATGGAAGGAGGAAGAGAACAGGTAAGAGCACATATTGGGGGAAAGCATTGAGAAAAGCTATCACTATGTGCAGTCAAAATACTCTGTATAAATCAAAAAGAGATGAAACGATACAAAACCCATAAAGGAGAAGAGAACTGATAGAAGAAAGACTTAACAGACTGTATCCTGTAGCAAATAATATGCCAACAAATACTATATTAATTTAAAATGCATGCTGTGGTGTTATAAACAGTGTTAGCTTAGATGATGGGTGTTTTTTTCCGTCACCTGCTTTTTACAGATACAGCTAAGAAGCATACTTTTAGGCCTGACTTGGTATCCCATGCTTCCTGATACGAGGCCAATGATGTTTATTCAAAACCCCTAGAAAATCGACTGTCGTGTCATGTATTCAAAATCGCCAGTTAATACATTTTGTGTGGTTCTATCATCTAATGTTATTTAGTATAATTGTTTGTTTTACAGCTCTCTTATGAGTATTTATTGTATAGCTCTAAACATCTGAATTCAAGGAACGGTGATTGGTCAAACTAATAATAATAGACTACCTAACTTCAGAAGTAGAAGTGCATTTGGCACTGTAATACGGAACTTATTTATAGTATGATATGTGGTGAAGGCAGCTTTTAAGACTTTTGAACTTAGGACCTAATGTGAAATGGCTTTTGTCCAATTACTCTGTGAACATTCATTTTACTTTTTTAGGATGTAGATTTTACGTCATTATTCTAAGATGCAGCACAGATTTATGCAGAGATTATTTCTGTAGCTGTTGATAATACTGTATTAGGGTAATAGATAATGTGCTGCAGGGCAATACAAGGTTATAATTGTGAGTAAGCTAATGCTACTTTATAAAAATGCCCATTTGGTTCTTAAAACAATACACTTTTTCAGTTTTGTGTAAATTTCAAGAAATGTTAATTACAGAGAAAGTTATTCTGAGAGCTCAGAGAAGATGGAAGTGAAAATACTAATATAAAACTTCTGGGAATGTGCTTTATTATTCCTGTTGGAGTGTGGTCAGAGTGACAGCTCAGGCTTTCCCTTCATAAAAAAGGATGAAGCTTCTGAAGGACTCTGTTGTTTAATTTGTAGACAGGAGTATCTTCTGTCTACCTGGGGTTTTGATCAGAAGAAGATTGTCTCAGGGAGCCTCAGAACCAGTTGTCTGTGCTGCATCTTCAGTACTTGCATACTTCAGTACTCTTGATGATAGAGAAGTGTTAAAGGGACTTTTTTCTTTTCTTACCTGTCCTCAGCAGGACTTGTCTGTTCAGAGCTGCACATTTTGTTTGTCTCCTTTCTTCTGAAAGAGACAAACATGACTAATGCATGTTGTTCTGAAGGAAAGATGAAGGAACTCTTTCTCCACATGAGGTATGCAGTGTTTTGGCTCACCTTTATGAGGGGAATATGAAGAGTTGCAAGAATGCAGTCTCTTTTCTGCTTCAGTTCTTGGTCCCTTGTTTTCACTTCCAAAAATTGGCTGAAATGTCAGTTAAGAATTATTTTTTGGAAGATGGGATGCTGATGATAATCTCAGGTCATTCTGTGTTTAGCTGATGTTTTGGACTTGAATTGATGTAATATATTCTTCTGTTAAGAAAAGGCTGTGTCCCAAGTACTTGAAGGTCACTTAGAACCTTGTTTTCCTCTTCTATCTTGATACTTGATTTTAAGTCACCTTATTACCTAAAACCTTAAAGTACTGCTTTATCTGCTAACTCTGGATCTGTTTCTTTCTGAACACCAGTGTAGAAGGGTCAGATCGTTGGAAAGGTTCCTTTGCACGGGTTCTTACTTTGATGTAAAAAGAAGTATGAATTAGTGGTGGAGTCAAAACTATTAGGAAGAAAATGTCTGTTGAGACTGGTTTAAATGTTATGCTTAGTGGCTTATACTAGTCCAGCTGATGAATCTTTTTTTCTTTGTTTAGTATTTAAAACATCAACTTCTCTGAGACTTTGCTGTGTGCAAAGCTTCTAACCTACAAGAGGCTCTGTGAGGACTTGGTGCACTGCAGTCCTTGCTCAAGACGACTTTACATATTCTTGTAGAAAAATGGCCACAGCCCACGTAGTTGGTCAATGTGTTGCTTGCTTGATGCTTCAGTTGCATGAAAAAATGACTCAAGCAGGTATTCAGGAAAAGGTCCTTGATCATGTTCCTCTGTTGCTGGCGCATTGAATACTGCTATCAGTTACAACTTTGTATGACGCCATCTAAGATCAGCTTTATTCAAAGCCTTTTTAGAGGTGGGATCAGCTCCTGATGGAGTGGGAGTAAGCAATTGTTTTTCGCAATGGAAGGTAATAGTTCTAATGGTGAAGACATGACAGTTAATTTGAAGTTTTTCCATTATGGTTTAGCCAGCTTCCAGCAGTTTGAGGAGTCTCTGTCCTCTCGTATCTTTTGCTGCTTTAAACACAGAGACAGTACATCATTCTCCCTTGCATAAAAAAAAAGTCACAGAAACTGCTGTCTTTACACATGGAGACCTTTTGTGCTTTTCATTAGTACCACTCACACCTTTACTGGTGAGAAGTGTTTGGTAATTTCTTGGACTATACCAGCGTATGTTAATATCCATTTACAAACTCATTACATGAATTACTCAAGCACAGAAAATCCAAGCAAAAAATAATAGTCTGAGGTTAAAAGAATTTTGTAGCATATAGTCTGGGGTTTTATGTGGTGAAGAAATACTTCCCTTTTTGTATTGTTTTGTGCTGTGATTTTTATACTAGTGTAGCCTTGAGGCTTTGTATTGTTGTGCACATTTTGTGTACTTAAGATTTGGTGGCAATGGGTCCTTCCTTGGCCAGTGGGAGGGGCAGAGCTCCACAGAGGTGTGACAGGGACACTGCACCCAGTAGTGACATGAGCTGAACCCAGCCAAGAGAATTTTCAGTGTGTGAGATCGATGAATAAGATGCGGCTAGCCTCTGTGAAAATGTTTTCTTTCTTTTTTGTTTTTCCTCCTCATTTACCCAAAAGGCTTATTCCTGGCAATTCCCTAATGGCTTCTTCAGTGTCAGCCCTTTTTGAAATATTTTGATTCTCCTAATAGTTAGCTGCTGTCAGACAGGAAGAGTTTGTGTGTGTTTAAATGGGAGCTTTCAAGTCAGAAATAATTTTTTTCAGAAGTTTTTTCAACTTTCTTCTTTTACGAAAATAACTTTGCTTTTTTAAATTCGGAATATAAAAGAAAAGAAAGGGTCCCTGTTCTTCTTCTGTCATGGTCTTTTTTTAACTTAATTTGACAGTTTCTCTTATCTCGTATACGTTACAGTGACACCACATATTCATGTGCTTTTATAAAAGCTCAAAACCAGAGATTCCTAACTAGTCTGGAATGCGTGGCAGTGCTTGGGGTGATGTTTCGTAGCGTATGTCCTTGCTGCTATGCAGTGATTGCTTTCTTAGAAGATTGGAGATTGCTTTGTGATTATTTTTTTCTTGTTTTCCACAGATAAAGTCTAACACTGATTAGATTGTTTCTCACAGGTGAGATACTATGATCATTTGACTGGCTGGGAGCAGTTCAATTCTTGTGTATTCCTGCCATTTATTTCTATTTAATTTAATTTGTTTCATGTGTTTAGATTTTGCTAGATACTCTTTTGAGCGAAATTCAGAGTTTGACTTGTAGATGAACAGCTTGGCTCAGTATTTCGTAGTTTAGCTGCATTTGCGGTGTGCAGAGTTCTTTCTGAAAGTCTTGAAGCCTATGGATACAGAAGCTGCTGCAACCAGAAGAGCAGGCTAAGAAAGACGGACGAAGTGAAAGGCTTCCTCTCCTTCCGTTAGGAAGTTCATTGTATTTAGGCAATACAGTGCTTGTCCAAGTCAGAATGTTGCAGATTTGTTTGCTGGCAGCCAGGATAGGGCCCAAAATGTTTAACGAAGAAATATCCTCCCTTCTGATAAAAAGAGTGAAACCAGGAAGGCAGTGTACCGAATGTAAAATGTCGTGAGTCTCTTGCTTGTAGAGAGAGGCATTCAGATGGTTCTTTCACTTTCTTTTGTTCCCTGTGAATCTCAGATGAAGGCACCCAAAACACAGCTGATACTGCACACTAATGTGTTGATGGTAAGAGACCTTCAGGGCTGTATCTCACCTATGTGCAACACGCAACTTAAATTCTAGCTATTTGCATCTTTACTTACAACTTGTTTTGACATCTTCAGGGAAACAGCTTTTTCTTGTCCAGATGACTGTCACAGAAGAATAAATTCTGGATTCATGGGACATCATTTTTGAGAAAGCCAGAAAAAGCTCATATGGACAGGGCAGTTACTTGAATTATCTTTTGCTATTTTAAATGCCCTGAGCATTCTTGGAGCCCTATCCAGGGTATTTCAGAGTTGAACTCTCAAAACAGAACTGAAAATCTGCATGTATTCCCTCATACTAATTAGAATGCTGTGAACTTTGCTTAGCGCCTTGATCTGAATGGTTCAAAAATTGGTCTCATGACCAGTCTTCCCTGCATTTTGTGTTTAGGAACTCATGGCTGGGGCCAGGGGTGCACTTTCCAGGTGATATTCAAACTAGCATGCTGAAGCGTCTGTGGCGTGTTAGCAGGCAGGAGACACTTTCTTGTAGGTCGCCTACAGATTATTTAGAGAGTGCTTGTTTGGATAAGAGCAGACGGGATGTATTACAGTCACATATCATGATTATAATTGTTGCAGATATTGCACTTTCGGCAAAGGTGTGGTTTCCTTATGTTCTCCTTGTTGGTCAGTCTGAAATTTTCCCTTCTTTTGGCTTTTAACAGAGCTATAGGTTTCTTGGGACAGGGCATTTGTTCTTTGTGCTTGAATCACCGGTGCTTTATTCACTTTCTACACCAATCTCAGTTTTTCAATGCAAGAAATCTCAGCAGATTGCAGGCAAAGTTTAATCTTGTCTCACTGGAGAGAAATCTGATTACCTAGGAGCCACTTTTCCAGAGAATCTTTGTTATTATATATTTTCTGCAGAACTAACTAGGTCTACTCAGGTGTCATCTTAGCCATCAAAAAGCTTTCCAACAGCATTAGGTCAATAAAAGGATTAAACAAGCATTAAATATGTGCTCTCATTTGACACAAACCTTGCAAGTACATTTCTCAGCCTAAAAATCAGTACACTGTATTTTCCTTCACAATAAGGAAAGCAGAATTTATTTATTTTTTTTTCCCACCACATAGTGTTTGGAGTTTTTAGTATTGGAAATTTGAGCAGAATGAGTTTTTAGTGATTTTAGTGAGGTAGACAGAAATCTAATGGTAAAACTGAGTCCATTAAAGCTGAATGGATTAAAGTCCTAATTTTCTTCATTACTAGAGAAAATAATGCAGGTGTTAGTGCATCTCATTCAGGCTTTGTGTGCATTGTGAAGACTGAGACTTTCTCAGCCCATTGCTGGTGAAACCTTACCAAAGCAGTCTCACTGCAACATCTTTGATCAGCTGTTACTGTTTATCTACAAGACTTGAGGACAAATAGTGACCTCCCTTCCGTCATTTGGTTCTGCTTGAGTTTTTTTGAGAGCTATCTAGTTAACTCAAAGGGAGGAGAGAGGAAAATTCCTCTGACTTCTTTACAGGTATTTGTTGGGGTTCAGTTTCTCTTTATTTGGGGTTAAATAGTTTATTGAGACTCTTAACCGTGTAACAGATGCAGGCAACCTTATTAGGGACCTTACCAACCTTATTGGTACACATCCTCAAACCAGGGCTGTCAAAATGCCTTTCTTCTACGGGATTTTGAAGTGGATGACCACAGCAAAAAAAAATATAAATGTTCCAGAACAGAGGAAATGCAGTTTTTCACTGAAGCGCCTTGGAAATTTAAACATTTTTGATCCAGCTGTGGAGTCTTCACCCCCATTCAGATTATGCCTAGCCCATTTAAGTGTTAAACTGCTGATCCTTGATGAGGACATCGCTGCCGTTTGCAGTAATGAGTGTATTGAGAGTATGCTTACACTCGGGAAATACTTACCAGCCCTGAGTCAGAGCAGTTGTCATTGCCTGCTCGTGTGTGTGGTGCCACCAAGGCAGAAAGACCATCAAATCAACTGGTGATAGACTTGAGGTTTTCCAGTTAAACCAAGAGCTAACTCCTTTAAGTCAGGTTTGTGGGCTGAAAAGAAAACAGTATGACAAGGACAGTGGAAAATAGTCACCAGTCTTGTTCATCAGCACTTGATATGTAATGTGGAGTTTCACAAGATTTGTAAAGTCATGCTACGTGTCTTTCTTTTTTCTCTAGTTTATTACAGAGACTGGAAACTAGAGACAGCGCTTCTGAAGGAGGTTATTGCTCTGCAGTTTGATGAACCTAGACCTCTAGATGCATTATTTTTTTCCAGAGGTCTGCTACTGGAATACAAGCTTCTCTCCAGGGCACCAAGGAGAAATCAATAAGTGGGACACGTTCTGTTAAAAGCTGATGGTCCAACGTGTGCTAAATTAGTGAAAAAGTAGCCTTGAATTTCCCTAGGGACCATATGAGTGGGTATATGAAAGTGTGTAAGCAAAATGTCAGCTGGTGATCTGGATGTATTCAAGAAAGGTCATGTGCACTGCTAACATTAAGTGTTTGCTTAGGGAATCGACCTGTGTGAGAGGGACGGGTGGGACTGTATCAGTTAGCTTTTGCCATGAGTTGACATTCATTTCCTAGATGAATGAGATCTTCTCTTATTATGAAGTCCCTTTTATAAAAACTGTTAACCTTAGGGTAGAGTTGTCCGCTATTCTACATTGATACTTTCTGATATGCCATATATTCACCAGTCCTGCATGTTTGTTTTTATTTCATGACTTTTTTTTTTTTTCCCTTTTGACAGAAGACTTCTGCAGGCCTCCCATTCTACTGTAAGGTATTGTGGAGAGCAGCATGTAGGATAGGAAAATTTATCTATGCTTACTTGAAAACGTCCATTGTGGAATGGAAGTTTCAGCCGATATGGATAAATTTTCCTATCCTTGAAACAGTAGCAAATATCAAGCTTGTAAGCCTTATTTTATACTACATGCTATGTTTTAATGTAAATTCTTACACGTGTTTTGCTTTCTGTCATGATGGGTGAAGTGTAAGGATTTGATTCTGGAAAATAAAGCATATTTGACTTTTTTTTTAAAATTCATTTTTTTCCCTCTGTGTGATCTGCAGTATCTGTCAGTGTTGAGCAATACTTGTAAGTTCAGGGTAGGGGAAGCCCATATGTCGAAATGCCAGGGAGTAGATACAGTGTTTCTGAGACCCATGTGACAAGATGAGTAGCCTGAGAGAAATTCTTGAAGCTGGGACTATCATGATCAGAAAGATGCAGAAGTGTCTGGATTATGCCTGTGGGATGCGTACTCTTCAAGGGAATAGCAGCAGTGGCTGGCGAAGGCTTCCTTCTTTAGGAATTAGCTAAAAAAGATGAGCATCAGTGACTGAAAGACCTCTAAAACCCATTCACTGTATGAGGACACTTGCAGATGTAAAGAACATGTTTCTGTTTTCAGGCCTTTTGGCATGTTTGGGAGCTCTGAAGAGTTAATGAATATAAGACTTGATTCTCCAGATTATTCAACTGGTGGCAGGTTTCACTGTCATTTACTGGAGGAGATTTGAGGTCTGTGTGTGAAAGTAGGGATGTATGTGTGGAAGTTCTGTGCATGCCCTGAACCTCCTGTCACTGGACCAAAGAGGAAAAAACTTTTCAGTTTAGCGGTTTGGAAATTCTAATGTTTTTTTGAAAAGGACATTTAAAAAAATTACTTGAAGATTCTATTTTCTCTGGTAATTTGACAGTGAATTACTTTTAAAAGGAGTAGTTTGCTTGCCTAGATGGATAAAGTTTCAATTGTTTGTTTTTTTTAATAATTTGTAATGCTGCAATTTGAACAGAGTTGGTGTTAAAGAGTCAAGGGAAATGAGAGGTCATCTGACTGTGTATTTGGCTTACATGACGAGACTGTTCCCTGCATACTTACACTAACACACCGTCGTTGTAAAGACATCTTTAATCCATTTGTTGCGATTACTTTACCTGTGAAATGTTAGAACAACTTGTGTGTGAATAACTGTACTCTAACACAAATGCATGACTCTGAGTATACACCTTCTTTTGTAGTTAGCAATACAGAGAAAATATACTAAGGTCATGAATTAGTGTTCTCTGTTTATTTCATCCTTAGGATATTTACCAAATCTGGGGAAAAGAAAGTTTTCATTGTCTTTTCAACCATGTTTCTCACTTGTTAAATAAATACTTCTGACAGAGAAGCACTCTTACTATGTTCAGGAATTGCTTTAGTAACTTTGGTTTTAATCTCTTTGCTGTCTGTGTGTGTAATTTTTCTTTCACAGATGGGAAATCCTTTGGTCCGAGGCACCTGTGAGGGTGGACGGTCCTCAGGCTCGGCAATTCACACCTTGTATCAAACAGATAAACTTTCCCACAAACTTAATCCGACTAGAAGTGAACAGTTCTCTTCTGGACTATTACACTGAATTGGATGCAGTAGTACTACATGGCGTAAAAGAGAGGCCTGTGCTTTCACTTAAGACTTCAATGATTGACATGAATGATATTGATGAAGATGAGGATGAAGAAAAGTATGGCTGTGGAATGGACACACTTAATAAACAGTTCAGCATTGTTACTCTCAGGGAGTGGCCAACCAATGGATATTTTGATAAACTGCCTTATGAGGTACGAAAAGCATGTTTATGTGCAATGTATTTATTATTAAGGGTGTAAAGGTGCTTTATAAAGTACTGGTCAAAATTGTTTTTTTTCCAGTTAGAGTTCCTTGCATTCTTTTGTGAATCTGTTGCAGTTTTGAATCACGGTGCAGGTAAAAAGTGTTAGAGCTGCACTTCTGTACACTGTCTTGTTTTGTTGTTTAGCGCAGAAAACAGTTGTGAGGAATCTACTCTTCTCAGATGCCCTGGCAGTGGGGAAGTGTGCTTGGAGTTGGTCTAGATGTTTTATTTCCTGTAAGTTCCAGTATAAAGAGGTAGTGAAGTAGGATTGCTGAATATTGTGTGCAGGCCGGGAAATTCTCAATGGGGTGTAGCTGTATATGGAGACTGGTACCCTAGTTAGAGTAAGAACATGGAAATGAAGTAATTGTCTTCACCTCTCCTGAAATAAACTGGGTTTGCACATAGTGGGAGGGAGTCTTTACTAGTCAGTCAGATCTCTGGATTTGGACAGAAACGTGCTTGTTCCTGCTCTTCAGTCTTTGCAGTCTGGTGGAAGAAATGTTTGTTCACTGTGGTAACTCATTAAATGCTCAGAGCACTTGTGGCTTGAATCAGATTCACTTTTGAAGGCAAAAGGAGAATGCTGAGAGATGCACTCACTGATTGCAGGGCATGTTCAGAAACATGTGATGTAGTCAAATATTATTTTGGGTTTGTCACATATTTTATCTCTAAGTACCCCAGTTTGGCATGTGAAGACTATGATTGGGTGACCATGGGCCCCAGTAACCTACAGAAGGCTACTGTGCTTGTGAAGAGAAAAGAAAATTTAACAGCTCTGTCTTTCTCCTGTGTATTTATCTTCTTCTTCAGTTCTTGAGTTTGGGTTTTTTTCTTGTTGTTGTTGTTTCTGCAGTGGGTTACTGAATGAGGATACTAACTTCATCCTGAGTTAGCTCTAGTGGTGTGGTTTTTTCCCCCAGAGTCCATATAGTGCTTAATATATTTTACTGTCAGCACTAATGTATCGGTAATGAAGTACTTTGCGTACACAAAGATGTAGTTAATTCGAGAACATCTTACGATGTATAGCTGTTTGAAAATATGTTGGTTTTAGTTGTTCAATTTTTAGGGAAAACTTGAGTTAAATCTCAGAAGTGCTATTAGAAAAGGATTGATGCATTGATTTGTAGTGTAGTGGGCTACCAGAGAGATTGATTAATCTCTTTTCTGTTCCACATGATTATGCATATTAATTTTATAGTTTAGGAAGCATTTGACCTGTTACTTCTTACGAACTTCCGCCTCCATGTACATGTATTGTGCTTTTCTGCTTTTCTGTTTGTGTACTAGCTTCCTTTTTTATCCATTTTTTAACATGTTTGGTTTCATGAATGCATTTATATAGTCTATCAATACCAAGCACTTTTTTTTTCTTCTGCTTTGATTTGAAGACATTGAAAATACTGGTGAAATATTCATCAGAAAACTACAAAAGACTATTTCTGGACTGGTTTTGTGACTGCAGAATTCCCAGTCTTCTATTTTCTTAATCCACTTGGAAAGTTTGGTTATCAGAACAACAAAAATGTACTTTGTAGTATGACTTTTTTAATCCCATCAGATATGGGAATAGTACTCTGCAGGCTGTCTTCAAGACTGACAAGTGTCAGATTTTCCTGGGAAGTGTTTGAACCTTATAATGATGTAAGGCAACTGCTGACTCCTTCCAGCTTTGATTGATAAATTACGTGAAAAATTGCATTGTTTTATACCTTCATGTAGATTGTGAGCATGTAACTGTCTGAAGTCTTCATACATGTGCCTATTCCTTATTTGAACTGTTTCAGGCTTTTTCATCCTACCTTCCATAATTCACGAAATACACAGGCTGGATTGTCTTCGAAGCTAATCTAAAAGTAGGCAGCAGTTTCTTCAGCCTCTGTTTTCCCTTCATTGTCTTTCTGAAATTTCCGAAGACTATTCTTTCATAGGCTGTGTTGTTCCTCAGAAAGACACTAGGAATGCTTTGCTGCAGTATGACCTCTAAAAACATTGTAAAAGTCTAGATTGTTCCTGCCAACAAAAGAGAAAAATGCTCGACTCCTGAGGCGCAGACTTTCCCAGAAGAAAGTGTGAAATCTTGGATCATCTAGGTGAGAGAATTCTCCTTCTCTGTTCATGGATGGTGTTAACCAGCCCTTGGTAGCTGTGAAGCACTTGTACTATCATCTGTTCTCCAGAATTACGTTAAAATTGAGGAAGGATTTTCTAGGAGACATTTCATGTCCTTGTCTTTCTTCCCAGTTATCTTTGACTATCTCGTGCTGTTTGAAAAGTGAAAGGAGTAAGGCTTTAATCTTACTTTGCTTTGCAGAAATCTTTCAGACCTGTAGGCTGGAACAAGTGAAAAGCCTTTGAGAAAGGTGACAAATACCTGCCATGGCATACAGACCTGTGTGCAGTTTGAGACTCACCGAGATATGTCAGGCACCAAGAATCTAGCTTTTGTTCTCCAGAGAGGAGAGTCAGGAGAAATCCTATGTGCTGTGGTCCAAAAGATATTTATAATATGAATTTTGATATAAAAAGATATAAATGACAACTTTGTCATTCTGTGAAGCCAGTTTTCCCTGAAGCTGCCTACAAGATTCGTGAGGTGTTCATGTCTACTGGGGAAGTGAGTTTCACCGCTAAATGTGGATTTGGCACCTATGTTCTAGGAAAACAGGTCTTGAATGTAAGATCTGCATTCCTTAAATGATAACTTAGCTAGAAGAGTTGCAGCAAATAAGCAGGAGCCCTTTCTTCCCTCAACAGTAAACTTCCTACATCTTTCCAGATCAAGTATTTGTAGGTTTTCAGATAATCAGCAAAATTTTATGCCTCTCTCAGAGAAGAGCAACTCATAAGGGTCTTATAAGCTTTTTTAACAGCTTATAACCATATGGCATAAGATTCCCTTCAGATAATAGCCAATATACTGCCAGTTGCTATAGCAGACTAGGCTCTGAGCAGTGGCACATGGAGAAGATCTCTCCAGCTTTAGTCCTCCTGGAATGTTTATTATTTGATTATGCAATCCATCAGTAAGATCCTTTTCTGTTCTTTGACTCGAGACGGGGCTTAAAATCTTTACAGCTTTTCATGATCGAGAAGATCACAGCCTATAGCCTGGTGATCTGAAGCCCACTCCACCAAAGCATGTTATGCAAGTAGAATAAAGAAAAGAGAGCCTGAAGTTGTTATGTTTTGTGGAACAGTTCCAAGATCCACTATTGATGTGTATGCATTTGCTGGTGCAAGCCATAGGATCATGCAGCTAGGGACTGTGTTTTCTTAAACTGTGCTGAGGAATGTCAAAAGCCTTAGAATACCATCTTCTTCCTGCCTTCTCTCTTTGCCTTTTTGTGCCCATAGCCTTTGTCCTTTACCCGAGTGTGTCTTCGTGTCAGCTCTAATTAATTAGAGTCTAAGCTGTGGGGGCTCTAAGCTGCAGAATGAAAAAGTTGCACATCATTCATTTGCTTGTTTCCGAATGAGTGGTTTGCATAGGCCAACATATTTTCATATTGGAGGGACTCATGCTGAGAAACTAAAAGAGGAAATTTGTAGAAGTGCAGATGTCCTAGGTTTGACCAGCATCCGAGCATTATTGTCTGAGCAAATCGAGTTCTGCATTTTTGTGCTCTAGCCACAGAAAGTATTTTATTAAGTATAAATGGTTGCTGCTTGCTGTTACTCAGCAAAAACGTTTTAAAAAACTGGAGGAACTTTTGGGTAGATAAGTACTATTAGGAGCCTCACCACTGGTAAAGTTTTACCCCATGTATTGAGGAGTGTGATTAAGGTCTTGTCTGAGCTTGTAGGCAAATGTTGTACTGGGTGAGATGTCCTTTTTTAAGATGTTATATTTTTAATTGATAATTCAAAAGTATGTGTAAGTTGCTGCAATCGGGGATGATGGGACTATGGTGATGGTAAACCACACATAGATCAATTATGAATCAGGATCTTTTTTTTCTGTTTGTTGAATTGTTCCAAATCATGATTGATTTTGGAGGTTTACACTCTAGTGGATGTAGATCTCACCGCATCTCTAAAGCTGACATGTGCCACATCTGTCCTGGAAATAGGAGATCCATCATAGCCTAGAAAGGTGTCAAGTGTCCTACAAATTGTATTTTGTTTTCCTCTTTATACTCCTTTGTACTGTTTTTTGGTAATCTTTGTTTTTATTGATCGATTTACAAGAAAGTGCAAAACAATAACGATTGCCATAATTTTTCATAAATGCAGAGTAAAACCAATTGTTTGCAAGAAACTGTGCTATGAAATTAGTTTTCAAAGCAGATGTTCCATTCTGCAGCACTCTTGGAATCACCATAAACAGAGTGTAGCACACCATATCACATACTCGTTATGGTATCAAATGGTACTTTATGCTAGGATACACCCAAATAAAAAGTGAATTTCTGGCAGACGCCAGACTCCAGAATAAAGGTGATTAATGGTTATTAGCCTGTATGTGTGGAACTTTTTATCTTCATATCTTAATGTTCTAGTAGTGATATTTCATTATATTTTTTCCTTCTAGGTATTACAAAATAGCACAATTTCAGTAAAAAATAAAGGAGGATTATTTTTTTCTGATTAAGACATTCATGTAGTAAGAGATTTCGTCTCAAGTGTGGAAGGGTTGCAACGTCCTCTATGTTAAGAAATAGAATAGAATCTTAGTATCATAGAATGCTTCTATGATTCTGTTCTCTTTCATAATAGAATTTTCATAGAATCATAGACTGGCTCAGGCTGGAAGGGACCTTAGAGATCATTGAATCCAACCTCCCTGTCATGGGCAGGGACGCCAGTTTTATAAATCTACGCATTGAATACTCATTGAAGTCATCAGTTAGGGCAAAGGGATGTTGGTGAAGCATTTATGTTTTCATTCACCATTAACTTTTCTGCTCAAGAGTAACAAAATAATTTTTTTTCATTGAAAAGGATTTGTACTTTTTTTTTTTTTTATCAGACTTGGTTGTGCCACATCAATTGTAACCATAAAGATAGCTAACTGCAACCTTAACCTTTGCTGAGGTCTCTGCTCTAGAAAACTTACTAAATAAGCATTGGAAAAATCCGAGGGAAAAGGCATTCTTAAAATAGATATTTAGGTGACTTACAGAGTGTGGAATAGCTGAAAGATAGCAAGATAGTTTGAAGCTGTCTTTCAGAAGATTGAAAATTATTTCCAGTGAATTTATGGTCTTAGAAAAATGTTTAGGTATCTACTATTAGAAGGAAGGGGGAAGGCTTGAAATCAGGCTTGTGAGAAGGTGGAGTATATGCAAACACTGTATTTTGGTGTTGGAGTTGAAGTTAAATTTTTTGAAGAGTCGTATATAGTGGTTGAAATCCAAATGCTAAATCTGGAGCTGAGTAGGAAGTAACATTTTTCGTTTTGCAGGAAGTTGGATTGTTTTCTTATTTCTTCTCTTCCAAAAGTGAAGGGGGAGGAGGTGGCGCCGAAGCTAGCTGCATAATAAAGTGGTACATTGGAAGTACAATCTGTTTGGATCTCACAAAAAGCTTCATTTTCATTTTATGTCAAGCATTTTATTCTGAATTTTGGCGATTTTGTCTTACAAGTCGTTATAAGACATTAAAATGGAACACTGGTATTTTGAAAGGGCCATAGGACTCTCTTCAGTTTAAGCTGGTTTGTGGGTTGGTTTGTTTTTTTTAAATTTACACTGATTCATTTCAGTGAGTTATTGTTTCCCACTGTGCTTCAAAACAATTAGTCAATTTTAGTTACGTAACTTGAATGCAGGTACTTACAGCTGTTAAAGACAGCCCTGATCAACAGTAATTTTTAGATTTTGTTTTTTAACTGCCTTTTCCCAGAGTTTTGAAGCTAAAGGAGTTTCTTGTTGATTGTTTTTGTTATTTCCTGAAGTGAGTATTTATGTGTGTGTTGATCTTTCTTTAGAAAGGAAAAAAGAGGATGATAGGAGAAGAGGGATATTTCTTAATTTCTGAGTGTGAGATAAGTCACTACAAAAACATGCATAGTGTTGGTGATTATTCTGATCCGGTCTGATAAAGGTAAAAAGGAGTTTCGCCTTTCAGATTTGACTCTAACATACAACAAAATGCTCTCCGAAGTATTACAGCAAGGAGGAGACTACTTTGTAAAAAACGATTTGAATATGTTGAATTTTTTACTGAGTTGCATAGTCCAGCATGGGTGGGAGCAGATACCAGGTAGAAGACAAACCACTGATTTTAAAGCAGGGAGCAGAGGAATACACCTGAAATCGGTTCATTTGAAACTGGGACAGGCTATTGTTTTTTCCATGTACTCTGCAAATATGCTGCCATCTTAAAAACCAAATCCAGAGAAGAAAGAGGATGCCAAGTCAGTGTTCTGATCAACGGCAGTGCAGACATTGTGAAAGGAAATATGTAAACATGGTGTTTACATATATATCACTGTTTAAATTAGCATGGGTAAAGAAAGTTCTAATTTGAAAGCTTCCTGGCGCTTTCGTATGCTGATCTGCTTTTTCCTTTCTTGTTTAATATGTTGTCAAATTGCGAAGGCAGTGGGGTCCTATTTCATAGTTAATCAACAATTTGAGATGTTACTTTTAAGTAAAAGGTTTAATTTTTCTCTGAAGTTAGAACCTCTTTTTCTATTCCTTTGCAATTTCCCCTTAACATTTCAAGTGCTGTATGACCATCTGTGACTTTTTTTTCTGTTTTTAATATAGCTCATCCAGTTGATTTTGAGTCACCTTACAGTACCAGACCTGTGTAGACTAGCGCAAACTTGTAAGCTACTGTATCAACATTGCTGTGATCCACTACAGTACATTCATCTCAGTTTACAACCTTACTGGGCAAGAATTAATGATACATCTCTGGAATACCTACAGTCTCGCTGCACTCTCATCCAGTGGCTGAATTTATCTTGGACTGGAAACAGGGGAGCCATCTCTGTTTCTGGATTTAGCAGGTCAGTGCTTAAATGTACGAAAGTATTTTGACAAGCTCGCTTTGCAGAGCTGCTGAACAGTAGTTTCACTAAGTATTGGATACCTTATTAAAAGACAAGATATCTCTTTGATTTATTATAAGGGGTGTGATTGTTATGACGAAGAGAAAAAAAACCAGCGAAAACAGTAAGAGATGCTAGATACAGCAGCAGAAGTCCGTTTCAATATGTAGAGCCTGCATGTGCCAAACTGCCTGTGACTGAAAGGCTTCTTCCAGGAGGAGCTGGTGCTTTGCTTTCTCCTGGGCTTCTAAAAGACTCCACGAGAACCAAGCTGTCAGAAGTCCGTCTCCTGAAGAAAACGTTTGCAGTTGTTCTATGTACAGATGAGTCATCAGTAGGGCTGTGGTATTAGCGTGGCTGCAATAATAAACTGATTACAGTGCATGCTTACAAGGTATGGGCCCTAAGTAATCACTGAAGTGCAATGTAAATGCAAATATTTTCATAAAAATGATTTAAAGCATTAGCTCTGTTGGGAAACAGTGGGTTTGCGTGTGCATCTTCCACTGAGCTGAAAATATGACTGTGCTGTAGGTCATTAAAATAGCAAATTTGCAGAGATTCTTCTCTGTATAACAGCCGTGTTCTCTGCTTTCTTAACATATCATTTCTTGCTTCTTTGCTCGTTTGCATTAGTTAAACACCATTTATCAATGCATTTCATTTAAGCAAAAATTGCTGCTTCAACTAAGAGGTAATCAGCAATGGCAGGTGAAAGCGCAACTTGACTGATAAGAAACAGAAATACTAAATATATCTAAAAAAAAGTTGTCCTAACTCTCATTTGTTTTCTGAATAAAAAGGTTAAATCAAGAATTCAAACATTTTCTTTCCTTTGGTGCCTGGGTGCCTTCCCTGGGGAAATAAAGTAATTTGAAGAAATAATTTGTCAAGATGAGAATGTTGCTTCCTTTTTTTTCCTGACCTTCCAGTATAATCCAAGAGCCCTGTGTTCATTTGTGCTTGCTGGTAGAAAAAGGAGATAGACATCAGCTAGTTGTTGAATAGGGTGCAGACATTTCCTCTAAATTTGGATTTCATATTACGTACGTTATGCAGAGGATAAATATGCAAGCTTTAATTGAGAATTCAAGTCTGAAATCAGGAAGTACTTGCTTTCTGATGCTTAGCTCTTAAATCTTCATGATAATTTTTAAAAAATTTTCGTTTTTTTTTTTTTTGAACATGCAGTACTACTAAAATTTTTTGTAGTCTTGAAAGAAATGAATATCCAAATTCAGAGTATTACAAACTTTGCGGTTCTGGCATTTCTACTTCCTCTTAGTTGAAAATTACCGTATTGCTAGTTACCTTTTTTTTTCCTGCAGTGCTGAACTATGTACAGCACTTATGTGTAGTCAGCATTTCTAAAATAATAAATATTCGTTGTTTGACTGTTAATCTGTATTCACTTTAATGTTTCATGTTTATTAGTAACAAGGGGGGAGTGTTCTTGGACATTGACACAATTGTGAAGTTATCTATTCCTAGGAAAAAGTATTTCTTGAAAGGGATACATCCAGTCTGGGAGTGGAAGATGCAGTTCAGTCGTAAAATATCGAAACAAAATTGTAAGCTAAGTGATTTTCAGGTGTGACTTCTCAGAATTTGATTCTGAATGGAAAAGGATCTCCACTAGGCTGGGTTTTGAAAGTTTTCTTTTTCCTAATACAGAAATAATTTTGAAACTCTGTTTGGAGAAGTGCTTTTTTTCTAGTAAAATTGCCAAACAAAAATTTTCCTTTTGACATTCTTCATGAGAACAGTTGTGAAATTTTTTGGGCTCCAGGAAAGGAAAACCTGCTGCTCGTTTGCTATGGAAGTATCTATTAATATAGGAGACTTAGTAGAACAACACTTGCTTTTCAAAATCTTTATCGTAACTTTCTTTCAAAAAAGTATCTTCCTAGTAAGAGATACTGTTCCTCAAAGAAGAAATCTATCAAGTTATGTCTCAATTCTGTTGCCTTGGCTGTCGTGAAGATACCACCACCGTGTGGATTCTACACCATCCAGGACATACAGTCATGAGATCCCTTCTGAACTTCTAGATGTTCCACACCCAGCCTGACTTTTGGGAGATACTCTGCGAAACAGAATTTCCAAAAAATGGAAGTACTTTGGCTTCCCTAAGAATTCTATTTCACACTTAAGTTTTCTTTCCGGTTTATTCTTCAGAATAAGAGTATGGCTGAGGAGGTTCATAGTTTGCTCCGGAGAGTGCATTGCTGCTTTTGTCAGTTACCTGCCACTTGTTAACTGCTACTAAAGACTTCATCAGATTTTCAAACTGTAATTGTCCTCTGCAGAAATGAAATACTGATGTATTTCTGTCTATCTCTGCACATAACAGTAGAAAATATGTATCACCACATATATTAGTGTAAAATCTCCCTGGCTACGTCTCTTGTCTTACTATGGTGGATTTTTTTTCTTTCTACAAAGGAAATTTTTTAATGAGGCAGTGAGGTGTGTCAAAAGAGTACTGAGTTGCATCTTTTATTTTGGATTAAATATTATGATTATAATCAGTGCAAATTTCTTCTTTTAACTTGAGGTTGAGTAGAAATGAGCCTAAATTGTTTTTTTCCAACACCTCAGGTTTATAAATTTCAGATAAGTTGCTGTGTAAGTGACTGCAAGTGGCTGTCAAGCCAATTACTTGGAGGTCTAAAGGATTCTGCCTAGGTCTTCTTAGAACCTGAAGGAATCCATTATGCTGTGTTTAGAAGGCCAACCTGTATTTGTCAATTCAAGGAGAAAAAACATTATTTGCTAAATGAATCTGTAGTGTTTGTAAATAACTTCACTACAAATAACACTACAAATTGCTGCGATGTAGAAACAGCAAAATGCTAAAACCAGAACACCTTATCCTCATAAATAAGAACATTTAACTTTCACAGGGCCTGTTTTTTGTTTTGTTTTCTTTATGTTTGCTCTTTTTTAGCATTTGGTGTCCGGTTGTCATCAAATTCAAAACTGGTAGAGTTAGTTTCATTCTTACAACTGTACAGTTTAGATTATGATTTCTGCAAGTCAGGGCATATTTAAATGATACTTTTGCTCAAATTTTATTTCAGCCAATATATTTCAAAAATATTTTTATCTTTTAACAGTCTTAAAATTTAAGTAGCTTGTGTAAATTTGTTTGTTGCTTTAAAAGGCTTATATAGACATGGCAAGAAATGATGGAAAAAAATTATTTTTTTTGCAAAAATATATTGAAGTAGAAGTATTTTTTAAAGAGTAATTGTAAGAAATGTGACTGAAGCAAATACGGTATTATCATGAGAAGATAGAATGCTTCAGGCATATGAACATCCCGAGGCAAAGCTGAAGGTATTTTAACTTATTGATAACATCTACTCCTTAGGGCTAAGAATGACTATCGTAAATTTTTCATTTCAGCATGTAATATAAATTAACTAAACTTTATCATTTAGATTGAGCTAAAAGTATACAGAAAAAGCAAAAGACAAATGAAATGAGTATCTGAGCAGTCTCAAGTGTCTGGAATGCAAATTGACAGCAAAGATTGCACAGTGAGCGTTGCATAAGCAGCACTGCCTTTCCCTTGGCGTTAGAGGGATGATGAATTTCCACGTGTCTGGGGAATATCAGTGTGGGAGGATGAGACCTGTATAGGAAAAGTGAGGCAAGTTGGCTGGAGGTTTCCTAAATACCAAGATGCTGAATAAATGCTCTGAGGTTTAAACCGCTCAAGAACGATGACAGTTCAAAAAGCAGGTTCTGCATGCAGATGGCTTTGCATCGCTGGTAATGTCATTAGCTCGTTTAAACTCTTGCTTTAAGTATCTGAGGTATTGGGATTTTTTAATCTACTTCTAACTTTTTTTACTGCATTTTCAGATTTGTGATGTGTTGTTTTCATGTTGGAATATGAATCACATCCAGAATATTTGTGTGGTTAACGTTTGAAGGCTTTAGTTGCTGTTTGAGAGAGGTTTATTTTAACAATGTTTAAGTTGGTGAGGCTTTGCTAGGAGTCAGGCTAACAGGAAGGTCAGAGAGATTGCTTAAACGTGTGTCAAAGTCACAGAAAATAGGAGTTATGTATGGCTGTAGAGGGATTCTCAATTTAAAGATCATGTCTGTCACTTGCTTTAATTTCCACAGTTTTTTAGTAAACCCTGTGGTTGCTGTAGCTGATATTAATAAATAATGGTTGTTTTGCATGCTTGCATTGAAATGGTTTAATCTGTCCTGAGAAAAGCACAAGATTCGGTACTTAATATTCCCCTTACTTGCATGCAGTGTTTTAAGGTTTGCTGACAAATAGAAGTGTATTACATGCTAGAGTAGAAAATAACATTGCAACAATTAGAGTATCTTGGAGGAAGGGAAGGTGACTTCATTTAAAAAATGAAATTATTTTATTAGAAGTAAGGTTGGAAAGGACCTTTGAGATCAAGTCTAAACTACAGCCCTACACCCACCTAACACTGACACATCTCCCAAATTGCCACATCCAACTGTTTTTTAAACACATCCAGAGGTGGTGACTTCACCACCTCCTTTGGCAACCCATCCCAATGCTTCACCACCCTTTTGGTGGAGAAGTTTTTCCTGATATCCAATCTAAACTTCCCCTGGTGCAACTTGAACCAGTTCCCTCTTGTCCTATTGCTATTCACTGTGGAGAAGAGGCCAACACCCGTCTCACTACAGCTGCCTTTCAGGTGGTTGTAGAGAGCAATAAGGTCTCCCCTCAGCTTCCTCTTCTCCAGGCTGAACAGCCCCAGCTCCCTAAGCCTCTCTTCATAAGACTTACCCTCATTATATCTCACTCTCAAGCATGTATACTCACATACACCAAGACAACAGAGACGTGTGTCCAAAGCAGTTTGTCTAGTGTGGTCTCACCATCCTGTGCCACTTCTCTCCTTCATCTCTGAATCTGCATGTCTTGAGAAACCACATGTAGCTAAATTCATGGATCTTAATGACCTGCTAATCTGATTTCCACCCACCAACATGCACGGCTTTTGTCAGCCCTTGTATTGCCATTTGTTCTTTCTTGTGCTTCTACACCTCTATGTACGCGTTTGGCCTCCAGTCATACCAGTCTTAACACTTCTGTTACAATTATGTGTACTAGGTGCTGCTACTGTTGTGTAACACAGCAGTCCTGAAAGGAGAAGCGCCACTGTGAATATTAAAATATCTGAACATGACTTTAAGAAGTATATTAAAATGTAATTCTATAAGTCATTGGACTAACTGCAAGACAGGTTGGGTTTATGAAGTCCTCTGCCAAATTTGTGTGAGTAATCTTACAGATACAACTATGGTAAAAAAGAGAAGACCTCAAGATCTTGGAAGTAAAATTAGAAGGAATAAAATCTTAGGTGGTTTTTTGACATTATTCTTATCTGTTGAAAATAGATTTGGTAAAATCAGCATGATTGAAACCTGTTGGGATAATTGTACTAAAGAAATATAAAACCAGGTAGCTATCTGTATTTAGGAAGAATGAGTAGATGAGAGAGAAAGGGTCTGTGATCCATGCTTGTAGAGTTTAAAGTGACTTTGAACTGTGGGATATTGAGTGAGTGAGGATCATTATTCTAACAGTGAAGCATAGGCTTTGGATTCACTTCAGTTCTATTAGAAGTCATTAGAGCAAATGGGATGTGTTCAGTACCCTGATAGGCACATATCTAAAGGTATTTTGAGAATTTTGTTTGGGAGGTCTCATGTAGTCAGTTATGACATGAAGGGTACCATCTCTTGTACCTTGGTATTTTAATTTTGAATCTTCTTTGGCACATGGGATATGATTGTGAGACGAACATCAATTACAAGATTGGAAGTTGCTAATAGAGAAAGTGACCCCAGGATCGTGATGGGTTTAACAGCAGCATAAGCAGATAGTGGCCTAACTGCTAGTAGATGTATTTGATGTATTTCAGAAGGATTTCACTAGGACTGACAAACTTTGCAAAAGCTGAAGCTCAAGAGGGAGGAAAATGAGCAGCAGGCAGAAGGTGATGGAAAGCAAATTATTATTTTTTTAAATTAAGAACCAAAACAATCCCAAACAAACAAAAATAGCCCCCTCCCCCCAAAAAACCCACAGCAACTAAACCACAAAACCAACAATCAAATAAAAGGCTGAAATACTGCAGTCTAGAATGAGGATAAACTTAAAAGGAAAGTTGCAGTCTGGTGTCTAGCCCACTAAATGTACATGTTTGTATTATTCTAGGTTGTTTAGTCAGTCATATTTGTAACAAACATGAAGGGATGAAGGGGAATCACTTCAGAAATTGTGTGTGTAAAATATTGATAATAAAAGCAAAACTAAAGGGATGGATGACTGCAGAAAGGAGAGACTGAAAACAGGAACCAGTCAATCCTCGGTGATTAAAGGAGAGATATGTGAAGAAATGTTGATTTAAGTAGAAAATGCTTTTTTTGGGGGGTTGTTTGTTTTCAGATGAAATAATCAGATTGAGGCACAGGTGTGTGAAGTCTGTGCCACGTGTTCTGGAAACATGAGAACCCGTGTTCTACCTTGCCATATGGCTTTGGAGATCCATGTAGAAAGACTTCAGCAAAAACGTCTGTCCTGAGCAGCCTGTTAAGTGCAAACAAAGATCGGGGCATCTTGATCCTTCAGAGGACTCTGCAGTTCTGCCTTACATTCTCTGTCCTGTGCTAGTTGGCAGCTTCCTCGAATTCCTCCTCCTGTTTCTGTTCTTTGCTTTACTTCATGCCTGTTAGCTCGTTCTTGTACCTTGCTGCATGTCCCTTATCCCCCTTGCCTTTCTGTGTAGTGTCTCCTAAACAACCTTTTCCAAAAAGGCAGTGAAGCCAGGAAGTGCAGTACTCTCTTCAGTCATTGTGTTTGCTCTTCCTGTGTGTTTCAAGCATAATGAATTTAAATGAAATGTGATGAGGATAATAGCTCCTCAAGCTGGTGAGCCTGGAGTTCTTCCCCAAGTCTACAGAGTTAACTGAGTGTTTCCCTGACCTGGTAATGTTAACTTTTAATAGACCTAGAAGGAAAAAAATGTTGATCTGTACCAACATTTATAACAGCCAAGCCCCGTTAAATTATATGGCAGTTAACCTAGCATCTATTATTGTAATGGAGTAATTCATAAAATATTTATCTGTTAGCAAATTAAAAGCTAGAGGTATAATAAGTGGCAATTGACAAGGTTTTATGGAAAATATCACCATTCAAACAAACCTGATAATTTATTGATGAAAGGAATGTGTGAATGTGTTGTTAAAGCACTCATTAAATAGAGGAATTGGCTAATTGATAATCAGCAATGAATCTATCTGTCTCTGCTCTGATTTCCAGGAGGTTCCTGTCCTGTGTTTCTCCATAACAATGTTGAACTCTATTACTGTTCTAAAATAGCAGTTTAAACACATGGTGATAATTGTTGTGAATTGTCATGTTATTTCAGCTCTGACACTCCCGTAAGAAAGCTTACAAGTCTAGGTAAATTGACTGTCTGCAGTATGAAAGCAGAAAATATGTGCTTGATATTTGATAAAACTCTTGATTTTTACAAGCTAAAATAGATTCTAAAGAGAGACTGCAAAGTTAGACAAAAATATTAGAAGAGTAGATTTGAAGGCTATGCTTGGCAAAACCCCTGTGGCTCTAGAGCTTATGTCTCCCCTGTCATGTCTCAGACCCTCTCTCTGTTTCTGTTTGCACGGGCTCGTAGAAATGTTGGTTGTTAGGGACCTCTGAAGGTCATCTACTCCAAGCTCCCACTTAAAGTGCCAGTGTCACCAACACTAGCTCAGGTCAGTCCTGAGGGATGGAGATGGCACCCTGAAATCACCTTTCCCTCTATATTGCATAGGATCTGCATAATCACATTAAGGCTGCTTAATGCGTAAGGTAAAAGGAATAGAGAAAAGTGATGATGAATGACAAACATAACTTATGAGTAATGAAAAAATAAGGAAAGGAGAAGGGTTGAAAACTTGGATCTTGAAAGACAGGTATTTCTAGTGTATCAAACTCAAGAATTAGTATCGACTTTGCAGTGAAAGTGTCAGAAGCTAAAGCTGCTTTGTCTGCATGAAGTTTTTTGTAGGATACGACTGATAATAGAGCAGATCAGAGTAATTATTATGAGAATTAAATTATGCTTCCTCACAAGCAGCTCCGCTATTCTGGGAAGTAACAAAGGGAACTCACTGCAGCCCGTAGGTTAGCAACTTAGTTTTTCTACTGGAGGAACTGTTAAAATAAACTATAACAAAGTCATGGCAAATGTGGGGTTTGCTTCTTCTATTGAATATTCAACCTACAAGGCTGGTGATTGATTTAAGCTTTGGAGGTTATCTTCACAGTAAAAAGGGACATAAGCTTATATGTTTTACTTGAAGTTTGGATTAGATACAAGAGAGATTGAATTTCTGAAACCAGATCTCTTAAGAGAAAGTTTAATTCATGCAAAAACCAGAGATTCTAAGTTTTGGATATTTGTCTTCTAATATCTTGCATTTTTATAATTTCAGTGAAAGTTATGTGAAATAGTCCTTAAGAATCTCTGTGTTCTATAACAGCTACAAAGTACCAGTTTTGACTTATTTGTTAGTGAAAGGAATGAGATATTTTTCTACAAGTCTTAAAATACATCTCATGAATATTTCATGCATTTAAAAGCATTTTTTTAACCTCATTTTTACATTTGCAGATATTTCTGAGATGAAGAGAAATACAAAATTATTGGTGGAGACTTGCAGGCCATTGTCAAAATTAGCTTTGGGGAATGTTTAAAAGCATTTCAGACATTACCTGTGTTGTGCTTTGCACCCTTGTCTTGGAGTAAATGGCAAGAATGAAGCATGTCCCAACTTTCTAGACTGAAACAGTGTTTTCAAGAGTAATGCTAATGTAATAAAAAGCCCTCTGTATGCTGTTCTTACCCCCAATGATGCTTTTGCAATTCATTCTCAAAGTGGAATTGTTTTTTAAGACTGCTTTAGTGACATAGCCTCCCAATGCCATGTATGGCATTACATAGCTGCCTGTGTTTCTTAAAATGTAGTAAAATATTCCTGTGTACAAAAGATTGTATAATATCTAGGTGAGGTGCAGTATCAGGTTAATGTTGATGAAACAGCCTTGGCTCTCAGACTGTGTTTTGGGTTTGTTTGGGGTGGTTTGTTTTGTTTGTTTTTTTTTTTTAAGAAAAACCACCTCAACACATAACTGGTTTGGTCTCTTCTGGGTTTGTACAGATTTGATTCAGAAGTAGCTTCTTCAGAATGGTTATCATTCATTTACTTTAACCTGATCTTATTTTCTTTTAGTAATTGAAGTGATGTAAGAGCTGTGGTCTCTAGGCTTTTCATTGTTCAAAGGAACTATTCCCTAGTGTATGTGATTAAGATTTTGACAGTATTCAGACTCTCACCTGGAAGTATGTTTATTTTTGGCTTAAAATATGTTTTTTACAGGTTCTTGAAAGTTTGTGGCTCTGAACTAGTACGTCTTGAGTTGTCTTGTGGCCATTTCCTCAATGAAACATGCTTGGAGGTCATTACTGAAATGTGTCCAAATCTTCAGGAATTAAATCTGTCATCATGTGATAAAATACCACCTCAGGCTTTCAACCACATAGCCAAAGTGGGCGGCCTAAAGCGTCTCATTCTCTATCGAACAAAAGTGGAGGTAGGAAAAAGTATTTTTAACCTTTGCAATAAATGCTTTCAATCCTGGCAAAGTTCTTTTTTTTTTTTCATTAATGAAGAAATTAATTAGAATTTTGCATGTAAATTCAAAGGTAAGTTAAGAAAATTCAAAGGATGTTTCAAAAACCATAAGATCTTTTTGCTTTCAAAAAGCTTTTGTATTTAACAAAGATAATTTAAAAGCCCCTGTGTTTTAAATTGCATGGATGGTTGGTGACTTTTTACCAGTCGTTTAAGTGATGTAGTGAAATCACACATGTGGAAGCTTTTCTCTTGTTTTGAAGTGTACTCCAGATAGACTGTATTTGGCAGTGTAATTGGGAAATTACGACGCTTAGTGTGTTACTGTAATTCTCAACATTGTCTCCTTTAGAATGACTTGCTAATTACTAGATTCCTACTGTCTTTGTATATTAGCAATATTTGACACATGGAATGTAACTTTTTAAAAATACTTTTAATTTACAGTGTAAAAATTTCTTCTTCATACAATTACTCAGCTGCCTGAGTCAAGGTTATTATTATTTGCTGCAACACATTTGCTATCAAAAATTGAATCATTTTACATGCTGCAGCAGACTGTTACAGCTTACTACATTTTACAAATGTTGTGTCCTATTAAATTCAGCAGTTTGAATCGGAAGCAATCCCATTCCTTCTCGCTATCTAAATGTCGCTTTGTTACTCTGATTTACACAGAAGCTTTCATACTTGTGTTTCTCTTGTTGCAAAAGGTACTGCTTAGGAGAGCTCCAAAATGTGGGAAAAAACCCCACATCTCTGCATTATTTTTCTCTAGTTTTTAGTTTCAGATTAAGCATTTTAAGATGACTTTGCTTGTGTGTGTTACTTCTGCTTAGGGTTTTTGTGCTCAGAAGTGAGATTATGACACTGTGTGATGTGGGGTGTTAAGCTGTAGGTGCCTGAGGGGCATCTGAAGTTATACTACCTTATTTCATTTGTAAGGAACTCACGCTAGACATACATTCAACATCTTTGTCAGTGACATGGACAATGGCACTGAATGCACCCTCAGCTAGTTTGCCGATGACACCAAATGGTATGGTGAACTCATTGAGGGAAGAGATGCCATCCAGAGGGACCTTGACAGGCTTGAGAAATGGGCCAGTGCAAACTGCATGAGCTTCAACAAGTCACAATGCAAGGTCCTGCACCTGGGTCGGGCCATTCCTAGGCACAAATACAAACTGGGCACAGAGTGGGTTGAGAGTAGCCCTGAAGAGAAGGATTTACGAGTGTTGATAGATGAGAAGCTCAACGTGAGCCGGCAGTGCACTCATGCAGCCCAGAAGGCCAACCCCATCCTGGGATGTATCAAGAGGAGCGTGGTCAGCAGGTCAAGAGAGGTGATTCTCCTCCTATACTCTGCTCTTGTGAGACCCCACCTTGAATACTGCGTCCAGTTTTGGTGCCCCCACCGTAAGAGGGACATGGATCTGTTGGAGTGTGTTCAGAGGAGGGCCACAAGGATGATCCAGGGGCTGGAACACTTCTGCTGCGAGGACAGGCTGCGGAAGCTGGCATCGTTCAGCCTGGAGGAGAGAAGACTTCGGGGGGGACCTAATAGCTGCCTTCCACTACCTGAAGGGAACCTACAGGAAGGCTGGGGAGGGACTTTTTACAAGAGTGTCCACTGATAGGACAAGGGGAAATGGGTTTAAGTTAAAGAAGAATTAGATCTTAGAAAGAAATTCTTCAGTATGAGTACGGAAAGACTCTGGAGTAAATTGCCCAGAGATGTTGTGGCTGCCCCCTCCCTGGAGATGTTCAAGGCCAGGCTGGATGAGGTCTTGAGTAACCTGGTATAGTTAAGAGGCGTCCCTTCCCATGGCAGGGAGGAGGTTGGATTAATGGTGATTTTTCAGGTCGCTTCCAACCTAGGCCATTCTGTGATTCTACAGAGTTAGTTGCATCTTGTTGCCCTTTTCTGTGGTAAATTCTATGTATGTTTGTGTTGAAGGTCTAGCACTAACTATATGTAATGGTGATTTGGTAGCGGTGGGTAGCTTTTGAAGGGGTAGGCTACCAGGAATGATTGACTTTTGCTGTGGGGTAAGCAGGCAGCCACCATGAAAGTGGTGCCCCTCAGTAACTTGTTACTTTGTGGTAGTCACTCTGTGTATTGAAGCAGCTGTTCCTTCAAACAGAAGAAATCAATTGGTGAGCGCTGCTTTTAAGTGCCTTCTGTATAGAGCTGAATCGGTGCCTTGGGTGTATCTATTCCATTTCCAGATCACTAGTCTTTCTGTAAATCTCGGATAAATCTCCTCACCTCAACTATTGACTCTAATTGACAAGGCTTTTTCAGCTCCAAGAAAGATCATTGTATCAGAAGTAAAGATTGTATAATTTGGTTTTTTTCCTACAATTGACTGATCATAGTCTTCTTGATTCTACTCAGGTATCTTCTGAAGTTTGAGACTTTGTGCTTGTAATAGTGCAGTAGCTGAGATACTCTAAAAATGATTGGTAACTGCCATTTCTCAGCTATCGCTTTGCTGAGCAGAGCTTGAAATTAAATTGAATATAGGTGGTGGAGATTTCCTGACTTTCAAGCCCTTAAATTGTGAAGCTTTGTTTCTGCCTTTCATGTGTATGGACATGCATCTGCTTGTAGCTGACAAGAAATCTAATTCGTAATCAAGCTTACTTCCATTTTATACATAAGTATAAACAAAAGACACTGTTGCTAACAAGCAGTGGAAGAGAAATTTCTAGAAATTTAAATAGGTAAATTGGAGAGGATGCTTTTGTCTTTCTTGTTAGCTGAAGCCACTTAACCATATACATTGTGCATCACAGGTGGAAAAGTAAAAGGGAGAGAATGAAGATGTAGCACAGGATTTGAGTTAGAGGATTAGAGCTACAAAAGTCATGGATCTTTAGAAATAACATTACTTTTCTGGACATTAGCTTCTGTTAATGCAGATCTTTGGTTTCCTATACAAAGTAGGCTGCCATTCCTTCTATTATCTTCAGCTGGTATGGAGATACTGGGTAGTAACTGGTATGTGGATGCAAAAAAAAGACAGGCTAGATTGATCAAGCACTCTCTGAAGTGATTTAGACTTCTCTAAAAGGAACTATAATACAGTATGTTCTTGATTTTTGTGAAATATCTTGCTACTACTGTGTCCTCATTGTTGGAGCTTTTAAGAAGCAAACAATGGAACAATGCTAACATTTATTCAAGAACGTGGCATTGTATTATTGCCAGCTGGACCTGCTCAGAGAAAAGAACTGAGGCTGTGAATCCACTAAGGAAAACTGCTAATTGATGATGAGTACATGATTATTAAGACAAAGTAAGAAGGTGAGAACAACAGAGCTAATGTGTGTGTTATGGTCCTCTGTAAAAGTTCTATTTCAAAATAAGTTAAAAAAAAAAAAGAAAAATCTGGTCATCCCATTTAGCCCACTGTTTACCTAAATAAATCAGTGCTTTGCTCTTTTTTTTCTTCTTAAAGAGAAACCAAAGAACAAGCAAAATAAAGTACCAAGTCTCTTTAGATAGTTTCTTATTGCATCATGTTCTAGAATGGCACAGGTACGGGTCCTGCCATAATTATCGATGTGTTGTCCTTTTTCTGTGAGAGAAGGCTGGCATCCCTGTTCATCCTGTGTTAAGAGCCTTGATATAAAAATGGGGTGATGGGCTTCTGATATCACTGGAGATTTTGAGGTAATTGCCAAAAGGTGAAGAGGGAATAAGTATGCAGAGAACCAGTAGGTAAAATTTGATGAGAATGAGTGCTACAATGGACAAAGGACTATTTTGTGGGCATTTTAAAGGTATCTGATACCTTTGACCAAGAGGAAATTTGTAACATGGGCAGTTGTAAGAGAAAACACTGAAAAATATAGATACTGAGAAGAGAAATAAGAATTTCAGCATTAAATGTGACAGCCCTTATTTTCTTGTGCCATGAGAAATCAAAGAGTTAATGCTGCCATAAAATTGTTCTACAGAATTTTCAGAAATAACAGGTCATGTTACACTTCTGGGAGTTATTGTCTGAGCTTTTTCAGCTTGGGTGAAATTTCATTGGCTTGGGTACAAATCTTTAGGATTAAGGGTTGCAAGCAAATAATGGGGAAAAAAATGAAAGCCTTTAGCTGGAAAGTGGAAAGAGGTTGAATCAGTGACAAATAATCATGCAGTACAGAGCCTTGATGGTGCCTTTTGATCCTGTGTCAGACTCATGGGGCTGAATTTGGTCATTTGAGCCAATAATGTGAAGAGTGAGTAGGAAAAATGAAGGTGTAAAACAGATTTGCAGACATAAGGGAGGGCATAATTTGACCAAATGAAGCAAAACCAAAATACAGTAATTGAATTAACTACAGGGACTATTACTTTCATTGAATTAATTTGGTAATTGCTGCGTTGCTGTGTCCCAGTCCCTGCTGTGTCCCTGGCACTGCCAAGTAGCTGGAGAGAACAAAAAGGTGCCCCTGTGCATCCTGAATCCCAGCTTGCAAATTACATTGCGCCTGTTTGTGAGGAGGCGTTTTGACTTTTGAAAGGCAACGTCTGCACTCAGTTCATTCCACCTTCGTTTCTAGGCACTCTTATTCTTGTCTTACCTGATGGTCATGCAGCGTTCATGTTGCGTCTGTTTTAAAACCTGTATCCTAAGTTTTTATCGCTATCCACTTTTTCATCTCAGAAAGGTTCCAGTAATCCCAAGTGCGTTGTGGAGGAAGGAGAAGGAGAGGGAAGCTGATTTTTAACAAGTACATTCCAAGTCTCACACTTTTCATTGTGTTTCCTTCTGTGTTGTAGCTTTGAGAGGCTGAGGGAGCTGGGGGTGTTCAGCCTGGAGAAGAGGAGACTCAGGGGGGACCTTTTCGCTCTCTACAACTGCCTGAAGGGAGGGCGTAGTCAGGTGGGGGCTGGGCTCTTCTCCCGGGCACCCATTGACAGGACGAGAGGGCACGGCCTGAAACTGCATCAGGGAAGGTTTAGGTTGGATCTCAGGAAGCACTTCCTCATGGAGAGGGTG